GGGTGCGCTGGTCCTACAAGTGGGACGCCACGCCAGGAGACTACACCATCATGTCCCGAGCCACCGACGAGGTGGGCCGGGTGCAGTCCCGCGAGCCGCGCTACAACAACATGCGCAAGAACTTCAGCGCCATCGTCGGTTACCCCGTGACCGTGGAGTAACCGGGCACCCGTTCGTCGAATGGCGTTCACAAACGCGCGGACACGCCGGGGGGTGTCCGTCAGATTTTCGCGGAAGGTGGTAGAAAGGAATAAAGGTGGGGGTAAGGGTGGATGTGATAGAAGAAGTGGAACTAAAGGTGAAGGACGGGCTGTGATGTGGGATGAAGGGGTGGAGAGCGATTGGAGCCAGGCGGCTGAAGGGGTGATGCTGGGGCTAAGGAACTGGCGGGAGCAACATCCCAGAGCGACTCTCACGGAGATTGAAGCGGCGGTGGACGGGCTTTGGGCCAAGGTGCGAGCGCGGTTGATACAGGAGGTAGCCTTGGCCAGCGGGGCTACAGATATAGGCCGTCAGCGTGGGGACAGTTGCTCCCGGTGTTCCGAGTGTGGACGCCGACTGGAGAGCCGGGGAGAGAAAGTACGCAAGCTGAGCACCCATCATGATCAACTCATTGAACTGAGACGCAGTTACGGGAGATGCCCCGTCTGCGAGACGGGGGTTTTTCCCCCTGGATGAAGAACTGGGTCTGCTGCCGGGCTCCCTGATGCCCAGCTTGGTTGAGGACCTGGCGCTGCTGGGCAGTTGGATGCCCTTTGGGCAAGCAGCGAAGATGGTTGGCCACTTTCGCAAGATAGAGGTGTCGGAGGCGACGGGGCGCCGTGTCGCTGAGAAGAGCGGGCAAGCCTATGTGGAGATGCAAACGGAGCGGGCAGCGGTGCTGGAGGGTGAAACGGGGGAAGCGCCTGAGGGGCCTGCTCTGCAACAACTGAGCGTGGATGGAGCGATGGTGTCCCTGTTGCACGGGGAATGGTGCGAGGTGAAGACCCTGGCCATCGGAACCGTTGCGAAGTCTGATCTGGAAGGAGAGGTGCATGCCCAGGACCTGTCCTACTTTTCCCGGACGGCAGACCACCAGAGCTTCGGCAGGCTAGCAGTGGTGGAAACGCACCGGCGCGGCACCGAGGGCGCCGGAAAGGTGTGCGCGGTGGTGGACGGCGCCGAGTGGCAGCAGAACTTCATCGACCTGCACCGGCCGGATGCGGTGCGGATACTGGACTGGTGCCATGGGGCGGAGCATCTGGCCAGGGCGGGTCAGGCTGCCTACGGAGCGGGAACTGCCGCGGCCAGCGAGTGGTTGGGAATCCAGTTGCATCAGTTGAAACACGGAGAGCCGGAAGGTATGCTCCGCGATCTGAGGGTGCTGTGCCGGGATATGGCGGAGGGAAAAGGGACGGATGGCGGGGCGGCCAAGGTAGTCAAAGGCAGCTTGGAGTATCTGGAGAAACGCAGAGAGCAGATCAGGTATGCTGAGTTCCAGGCTAATGGGTATCCCATCGGCAGCGGGGCGGTGGAGAGCGCCAACAAGCTGCTAGTGGAGGCCCGGCTCAAAGGCTCAGGGATGCATTGGGCCAGGGAACACGTAAACCCCATGGTAGCCCTGCGAACGGTGGTCTGCAGTGACCGGTGGGGAGAGGTGTGGCCACAGATCAGCCAACGGCTGGGGGGAAAGGCCAGGGAGCAAGCCGGGGGACGGCAGGCCAAGCCCAGCCCCCAAGAGAGCGCCGTAGCCAAGGAGGCTTGCCGGGCAAATGCCGGACCGGCGGCCCGAAACCGGGTGGAGCTTACCCCGCAAAGCCCTCGGGAGAACCATGAACAAAATCGCAAACCCTCCGCAGCCACTGAGCGGCAGCCAGCGGCCAACCACCCCTGGCGCCGTATGAGTATCGGCAGAAAACATCTCTCACCAAACCTCCCCAAGCAGCCCAACCCGAAAATCTGACGGATACCCCACGCCGGGCCGGTTCCAGACTTCCCAGCGTGCTCTGCGCTAGAATGCTTTCGTGAACCCTCGGTGGTAAAATGTCATGGTGCTTTGGAGCTGAGATGCCGTTTATTGACCACTCCGACATCAGGATGCCCGGCCCGGTTAACCGGGTAAGCGAGCGTTACTTCGTGTCCAGCGCCCAGGGAGCGGAGTCTCTGACGATCAAGGAAGTCCAGATTGACCCGGGTTGGGAAGGCCGGATGCACGTTCACAACACCGACGTGTCTATTCAGGTGACCTCCGGCGCGATCCAGGCAATAATTGCTGATGAGGTCCGCACAGTCAGGGCAGGCACGACTCTATTGGCCCCGCCGGGCACGCCTCACAAGCTAGTCAACCATCTGTGGACGCCCGCGGTGCTGTTGATAACCTACCCCACCGGCGAGCCCCAGACCAGCTACCTCGAGTAGTGCTACCTGGAGTGGCCGGTAACGATATGCCCATCGGTGTACCTTGCGGCAACCAATTGCCCGTCAAGAATCAGCAGAATTAGAGGCGCAAGCCGCAGTCATCAGGAGGAAAGCATGGCCCTACCGCAGATAGGAACCCGCGCGGAACCCCAGATCATCCCGACCAACGCCGGCCTGCGCACCTTTGCTGCGCCGCCCTCGGCATTGCAGGAAAACATCGTTCCCAACGACCTGTTTCTACGTGCGCAATCACTGGAAGGACTGCCCCGAGATCGATGTCAACACCTATCGGCTCAAGGTGGACGGTCAGGTCGAAAAGGAACTCTCACTGTCAATGGAGGACTTGAAGAAGCTGCCGCAGAAGCGCTTCCAGGTCACCTTCGAGTGCTGCGGCAACAGCCCGGTGCCGGAATACTACACCAAGTCCCTCCGCATCAGTTCCGTCATGGAGCAGATCAAGGGGCACGGCATCATGGGCAATGCCGAGTGGGCCGGCGTTTCGCTGCGCGACGTGCTGGAGCTGGCCGGCGTGAAGGACAACGCAGTCGAGGTGATGTTCGAGGGCGCCGACCACGGTCCCGACGAAGTCGTCAGCGACCCGGCCGAGGTAACCTACGAGCGCAGCCTGCCCATGGCCAAGGCCCTGCACCCCGACACGCTGCTGGCCTACGAGATGAACGGCGAGCCTCTCCCCCTGATGCACGGTCGTCCGCTGCGTCTGCTGGTGTCGGGCTGGTACGGCATGAACTCGGTCAAGTGGCTGGTGGGCATTCACGTCCTGGACCACGAGTTCAAGGGCTTCTACATGACCGAGCGCTACATGACCCAGAACGAGCCCGGCTCGCCCATACCCTACAACTACTACACCAAGCTGAAGGTCAAGTCCATCATCACCAACCCTGTCCCCGGTGAGATCATCCCGGTGACCGGCTACCGGCTGGCCGGTGCCGCTTGGTCCGGCGAGCAGGAAATCGCCAAGGTCGAGTTCAGCGAGGACGGCGGCGAGAGCTGGGTGCCTGTGGACACCCTGCACCCGCGGGTCGGCTACTCCTGGAACCGCTGGGAGCATTACTGGCAGCCGCCCGCCGAGGGCAATTACACCATCATGTGCCGCGCCACCAACAACCTGGGCGAGACCCAGCCCATGGAGTTCCCCAACAAGTGGGACGGCCGCGGCTACGGCAACAACATGGTCTTCCCCTTCGAAGTGGAGGTCGGGAAGCTGACTCTCATCCGCAACATGCCGGCGCCATTCGTCTTCGTGGCGGTCATCATCGCGACGGTGGCGCTGGTCATCTTTTTCGGGGCCTGGGCCGTGGCGTCTGATGTCGAGGGCCGGGAATTGACCTTCGGCCTGGCTGGCACGACCATCGAAGACCCCGGTGCACCGAATGTAGAGGGCGGCGAGCAGGGGCGAATCGCCTTCGGTGCTGCCCCAATAGGCGAGACCTTCGGGGGCGCCGCCGAATCGTGGTGGGGCCAGGGCTTCCTGAGAGCCTGCCCTCTACATTGACCCTGGAACTAAGTTTCCTTTACCTTTCCTCGATTTCGCCGTGCAAATAAGGTGATATGGCACAGCTAGCAGCAAAAGCCCCTTTCCGAATCCACCGCGCCTGGACAATCTTGGCCATTCTGATTGTGGTGCAGGTCATCGGGCAGGCCATCAGTATGTCCGCCGGGATCATGGTCGCCCCGCTCAACGACGAGGAAGGCGGCTTTGGCTGGAGCATTGCCATCATCGGCGGGGCAATTGCCGTTTACTACCTGGTCGGGGCTCTGATGTCTCCGGTTGCAGGCATGTTGGGAGACAGGTTCGGCGCCCGCCCTATCATGCTCGGCTGCGGTGTGCTGTATCTGGTCAGTATGTCCATGGTGGGAATGGTCAGTGAGATCTGGCACTTCTTCATTGCCTTCGGTGTTTTTCTGGCGATAACCCAGGCCTTTACTTTCGTACCTCTCCAGGCGTCCATTGGTGGCTGGTTCCGGCGACGCCTGGGGCTGGCAACAGGTCTGTTGCAGGGGGCAGGCGGCATCGGATCGGCCGTCATCGCGCCGGGCATCGCGGAGTTGCTGGGGTCTGCGGGCTGGCAGGACACTTTCCTGATCATCGGCTTTGCGGGTGGCGGACTGATAATCGCCTGTAGTTTCTTTTTCCGTTCCAGTCCGGTCCACGCGGATACCAGGCCTTATGGAACCCTGTCCAGCGATCCCCCTGACCCTATCATTCCTAAAGACATTCTGGCCCTGCGTCTCAAGGTCTTTGGCCAGGCAACGCGCCGGACGCGGGCCTTCTGGAACTTGCCTACCATTCACGGTCTCGGCTGCGCCGGCCACGGCATCGTCCTGATCTACGCCATCCCTTTCGGAAAAGAGCTGGGATTCGGACTAACCCAGGCGGCTTTCATACTTTCGTTCATCTCGATTTTCAGCATCATCGGCAGGTTTATCGTACCGATCCTGGCTGAACGCTTTGGCGGCAAACCCATCATGGTTGTAGCCCTGTTTTTGCAGGGTGTAACCGTTCTTGTGCTGTTCTGGGCCCAGGACGTGTGGGCGTTCTACCTGTTTCGGTGCCGCATTCGGTCTTGGTTTTGGCGGGCGAGATGTCGGCCTACCTGGTGGTGAACCGGCAGTACTTCGGCCAAGGCCCTCTGGCCACGCTCTACGGCTACCAGATCATGGGCGCTATGATGGGCCATGCCGTCGCTACCTTCCTGGGCGGCATGGTCTATGAGTTGAGCGGTTCGTTTATGCCAGTGTTTGTCTTGTCCATGGGCTTCAGCCTGGTTGGCGTCCTGGCCATACTGACCCTGGAATCCACCAAGCAGGTACTTATCCCCGACTGGGAGAAATCCCTGCCACCGGAGGCCCGCACCGACGCAATAGCCAGACTCAGGCCCGAGCCACGGCCCGCGCCGCCTTCGGGAGCGTTACCCGAAGCGACGCCTGGCGACTGAACTCCGATAGTCCCCTCCCCCTGCGGGGGGAGGTTTAGGGTGGGGGGAGTAATTCCTCATGGTACGACTTGTAGATCTGACCCTGACCCTCGGCAGCGAGCGCGTGAGCGAGATTCCGGGACTTATGGGCGTGGAAACCTCCCCACTGATGACCCATGAGACCCACGCCCGCTCCAACCAGCGCTTGTGCCTGGCCACCCACATAGGCACCCATGTCGACGCGCCCTACCATTTCGTTCCCGGCGCGGCCACGGTGGACGAGATGCCGCTGGAGAAGTACATGGGCCCGGCAGTGTTGCTGGACCTGCGCGGAGTTGCCCGTGGGCTCGAGCCCCTGACTATCGACCAGATCAAGGACGCCGGTGGTGCCCCTGAGACCCTGCCGGGTAAGATCGCCGTGCTGTTTACCGCTTGGGCTGAGAACGAATCCGGCGGTCCACGTTTTTATGGTCACGGCCCGTATCTCGGCACCGATACCGCCGCCTACCTCGCTGACAACGGCGTCAACGCCGTGGCCGTCGATTTCCCCATCGACAAGCACCCCCCGACACCACTGTCCACCATCAACGACTTTCCCGTGCACCGCCTGCTGCTGGGGCAAGGCATCCCCCTCATCGAAAACCTGATCAACCTGCACCAGCTGGTTGGAGAGGAGTTCGAGCTCTGGGCGCTCCCCCTCAAGCTGAAGGGCGGCGACGGAGCGGCGACGAGGGCGGTCGCACGCATCGCCTAGTGCCATAGATGGCGCCCACCCCTATCCTGCTGGCCACGGGTAACCCGGACAAGCAGGAACAGTTTCGCGACATCTTGGCAGGTCTCCCGCTTTCGCCGGTCACACCGCATGACCTTGGCCTGCAAGCCGTCCAAGAGGAAGTCGGAGACACCCACGAGGCCATCGCTCGCGACAAGGCGGCGCAGTGGTCGTCTGCTGCGTCAATGCTCGCCATCGCATCTGATGGCGGGCTGGTTATTCCGGCATTGGGACCCCCGGTGGGAAAGCCGCTACACCCACCGATTCGCTGGCCACGCCGCTGACAACGACGCCCGCCTGGCCCGCCTCCTCGAACTCTTGCGCTCATATTCCGGTGAGGACAGGCAGGCGTCGTGGGTGGAGGCGTTAGCCATCGCCCATTGCGGTCGCGTGCTGGTGTCGTGGGAACTGAGCGGAGGCGTTGGATACCTGGACGAAGGGGCGCCTCGAGGGCCGCTGCCGGAGTTCTGGGTGTTCAGCGTGTGGCGTTTCCCCCAGTTCGGTGCAACGTACAGCCAACTCAACGTTAGGCAGAAGGACTCCATTGACGACCACTGGGGCCGCCTGGGCCGCCTGGTGCGCCACTATTTCAGATCTGTCTTCGTTCCACTCCCCGAAGCCTGAGTATGCGTCGCGGGACTCAGACTCATGGCAGTCCGATTTCGGATACAATGCTTTCAAACGCACCCTTGGAGAGCCATCCTTTGACTTCAACCGCGACCACAACCCCTGAATCCATTGAGAGCGTCCAAGAGCTTCTGCGCGGCCAGGGTTACGTCGCCGACCGGTCGCTGGCCGTGCCGATTTTCCTGGCCCTGCGCCTGCAGCGCCCCCTTTTCCTGGAGGGTGAGGCCGGGGTGGGCAAAACAGAGATCGCCCGCGCCTTGTCCGTTGCCCTCGACACCCCGCTGATTCGCCTGCAGTGCTACGAGGGCCTTGACATCAGCCAGGCCGTCTACGAGTGGAACCACCCCCGCCAACTCCTGGAAATCCGGTTGCTCGAGGCCAGCGGCGACGTTGACCGGGACAGTGCCACCGCCGGACTGTTTTCTGAGCGGTTCCTGATCAAGCGCCCCCTGCTCCAGGCCATAGACGCCGCACACGAGCGCGCTCCGGTGCTGCTGATCGACGAGCTGGATCGCGCCGACGAGGAGTTCGAGGGGTTCCTGCTGGAGATGCTGTCCGACTTCCAGATAACCATTCCGGAACTGGGAGTCTTCAAGGCCGAGCACCCGCCGGTGGTGATCATCACCTCCAACCGCACCCGCGAGGTGCACGACGCGCTCAAGCGCCGCTGCCTCTACTACTGGATCGACTACCCGGACTTCCAGAAGGAGATGCAGATCATCTCCTCCCGCTTGCCCGATGCGCCCCGACGCCTCGCCGAGCAAGTCACGGGCTTTGTCCAGGAGCTGCGCGAGACTGAGCTATACAAGATTCCAGGCATCTCCGAAACGCTGGACTGGACGTCGGCCCTGATGGCCCTGAACCAGCGGGAATTGGAGCCCGAGGTCATTGATGACACACTGGGCCTGATGCTCAAGTACCAGGACGATATCGAGCAGGTGCGGGGCGAGCCCGTGCGCGCCATGCTCGAGCGCTCCCGCAACCGCGGCTCCCGGCGAGGCGGTCGGCGCTCCTGAGTCTGTCGAGGGGTAATCGCCCATGACCACTAACCTCTACGCCCTGAATCGCGACGGAGGCGAACCTGGCGGCCACATCCTGCCCAACCTGCTCCGCTTCGCCGAGGTGCTGCGGCGGGTGGGTCTGGACGCTGGCCCAGCGAGCGTGATGGACATGGTGCGCGCCACGGAGCATGTCCACATCGGCCGGCGCGCCGAGTTTTACCAGGCCGCCCGCAGCATATTCGTCCACCGCAAGCAGGACCTGCCCGTCTTCGACGAGGCCTTCAACGTATTCTGGCGAAAGCCCAACACCGCCCGCAGCGGCATGGATTTGCGCTCCATGGGGGAGCAGCGGCGCTTTCGCAAGCCCCAGGTGTCGGCGGGGCACGACGAGCCAATGGACGACGCGCTGGCCCTAGACGGGGATCCCGACGACGATTCGGTGTCCAACATTGACCTCACCCGAACCTACAGCGCCCGCGAGGTCCTGCGCGAGAAGGACTTCGCCCAATTCGCCGGCCACGAAGTCGCCGAGGCTCGCCGGATGATGGCCTCGCTGCGCTGGGACCTTGGCAACCGGCGCACCCGGCGAATGGTTCCCGGCGATGGCTCCGGTCTCGATATGCGTCGCACCCTGCGCCGCAGCCTGCAACACGGCGGCGAGATGCTGGAACTGGCCCACCGCGGCCCAAAGAGCCGTCCCCGCTCCCTGGCCCTGATCTGCGACGTCAGCGGCTCCATGGAGCGCTACACCAGGATGCTGCTGCACTTCATCCACACCATCGCCGTCGGCCAGCCCATAGAGGCCTTCCTGTTCGCCACGCGACTCACCCGCATCACCCGGCAACTGCGCTACCGCAGCATCGACCAGGCCATCACCGAGGTCTCCCGCGCCGTCCCTGACTGGGCCGGTGGCACCCGAATCGGGGAGGCGGTCAAGACGTTCAACTACCAGTGGCTTCGCCGCACGCTGCGCGGCCAGTCCATCGTGATGATCATCTCCGACGGCTGGGACCGGGGGGAGCCAGAACTGCTGGCCCGCGAGACCTCCCGCCTGCAACGTAGCTGTCACCGGCTGATCTGGCTGAACCCTCTGCTTGGGTCCCCCAGCTACCAGCCGCTGACACAGGGAATGCAGGCCGCGCTGCCTTACGTCGACGATTTCCTGCCCGTACACAACATGAACAGCCTGCAGGCCCTCGCCGACCGGCTGAGCGACATCGGCCCGGAACGCGGCGCCGTCCGCGCCTACCGTCCGACGCCCGAGGAGCCGGAAGTGGAACCATTGCCCGAGCCGGAAGAGCGCCCCATAGATCGTATACTCCCGCGCCCCACGTTCCGCCACCAGATGTGGGGCAAAGAGCGGTAGCCACAGCCCTGGGGCGTCAAATCGCTTGGCTGTTCCGCCATCCTGGCCAGATTCGCAGATTGCAGGCACAACCGGAGTGGAGCATCCCCCGGACCAGTGACGATCGCCGATCGCTGGCTCGCTGCTTTATAAGAGCCGGCGGCGTGGCCGGAGCAGAATCCTCTTTCCTGGACTTCTGACACTTGCCCCTTGCCAAGCCTCATGACAACTCTCTACCATAATCTTGTGCTTGACGCCCTCAGCTCATCCGGACCCTCGCATAACCCTGCCGGTTCTCGGAAGGGGGCAGAACGGAACACAACTCGATAGGCGGTAGAAGATTCTTGCAAGACATCCTCCCGATTCCCCCTGTTCGTGTCGAAAGGCCGGCAATCGCCTCACTCGCCAAAATGAGCGGAAATGAGCGGAAAATCAACAAATTCAGGTCAGCCGGGCTGCCATAGGAGGTAAGGACATGTATTCGAGCAAGATCAAATACGGCGCCGATGTCCTGCAACATAATATACCTCACCTCCTGACCGGTGTCGGGACTGGGGCCGCAGTTGGCTAAAAAATCAGGCGCAATTCATTGCTAATACTCTATATCCGCATTCAAAATGTTATATAATTGATGTGCTGGAAACGTAATGGGGGTTACGGAAATGAACATTCTCGAGCACATGAATGCCGAAGGCCATGAACAGGTGGCGATGTTCTCCGACCCCGCTTCGGGCCTGAAGGCGATAATCGCCGTCCACGATACAACCCTGGGTCCGGCATGCGGCGGAACCAGGATGTGGCCCTACGAGAGCGAGGCCGAGGCGCTGACGGACGCATTGCGCCTCTCCCAGGCCATGACCTACAAATCCGCTGCGGCTGGGCTGCATTTCGGTGGTGGCAAGGGCGTCATCATTGGCGACCCGCACAAGGTCAAGTCCGAGGCCTTGATGCGTGCCTACGGACGGTCCGTCGATACGCTGGGCGGACGTTATCTCACAACTACCGACGTCGGCACGACGGCACGCGACCTCGAGTTCATGAGGCAGGAGACCAGGCACGTAACCGGCCTCCCTGTCAGCCTCGGAGGCAGCGGCGACACTTCCATAATGACCGGACTCGGCCTGTACATGGGAATGAAGGCGTGTGCAGAGGAGGTGTGGGGCAACGGCGGCCTGCGTGGCAAGACCGTGGCCGTTCAGGGGTTCGGCAAGGTCGCCAGCCATCTGTGCGAGCACCTGATGGAGGAGGACACCCGCATAGTCGTCACCGACGTATTTGAGGATGCCCTCGACCGCGCCCGAGACTGGGGCCTGGAAGTGACGTCGCCCAATAGCATCATGACCACCGACTGCGACATCTTTGCTCCCTGCGCCCTGGGAGGTGTTCTGAATTCGCAGACAATCCCCCAGTTGAAGTGCCGAGTGGTGGCTGGCGGGGCCAACAACCAGTTGCTCAGCGATGACGATGGTGAGGAGTTGCATCGCCGTGGCATCCTGTACGCCCCGGACTACATCATCAACGCAGGCGGCATCATCAACGTCGAGGCCGAGATGGGCGATGCAGGTTACAGCCCAGAGCGGGCGCGCGAGAAGACGGAGCGAATCCACGAGATCATGGGCAGCGTCATCCGGACCTCTCAGGCCGAGGAGATCTCCACCGCAGTCGCTGCGGCCCATCTGGCAGAGGAGCGCCTCGACAGCGTACGCCGCATCCGTTCCATGCGACGGAGCTGCCAGTAACACTGACTTGGAGGCCCGAGGCTCCGCCTGCTTGGGGCAGCCATTGGTAACTATCTCACGACGTGGCGAGACACCCTACAGGGATTCCCGCCAAAGCGGGAATCCCTGGCCCCATTGGACAAATGGCGGGAATTAAATGAAATCAGTGCGGCTTGAGCCAGTTGCTTGGCGACACTTGAAGCTATCCCACTTCATGTGAAGTGGACATGCGCATCGCGACCCGTGGCAGCCAGTTGCGCGGACGATCTGGTAGCGGTTCCCGCACTACCTGGAACCCGGCACGCCTGAATAGCGGTTCGGTGCCGATAAAGGCGTTGTCGTCTCTGGTACGTATTCCGTCCGCCCTTGGATAGGCCTCCACCGCCGGAGCACCATGCTCCCCGGCATAGGATACCGCTGTCCGAATCAGGGCCACTGCGATGCCTCTACCCCGGTATGCCTTACGTACCGTTATGCACGGTATTATCCACACTGGTTCGTCGTCGACGGGGGGTGTGGTGCGTGATCGGACGATTCGAGTCAGCTCGCCCCTGGGGCAACGGCGATCCAGCCCACGGGTTGATCGCCATCGAAGGCCAGCAGGCCGGGAGCCGGACCGCGAGCAGCCAGTTGCGTCATTGCCTCCCTGCGGCGCGGACCCGCTGGCCCGTCCCCGGGAAGCTCGCGCATTTGCGCCTCCGTTACCCGCGGGTACATGCACCAGCATGTCGACCCCCAACTCCCGCGCAGGACTATTCCCATCGAGTCCATCAGGTCCGGAGTCAGCGGTGGATGTCAAGTCCGTTTGGTGATTCTGAGTTCAACAGTGCCTCTGCGTTTGGAGAATGAAATTGGGGCGCCCTTTCAAGCGCCCCTGCGTTGCTACAACCAGATTCGGGAAGGGAGTTAGCGAGCCTGAGACTCTCCCTGGAACCCTCCGTCTCGATGTGCGCCGTCGCAGAAAGGCTTTTCAGACGACAGCCCGCAACGGCACAGGCTTACCCAGCGCCCCTCGGGAATGGTGTAGTTGGCGCCACTGGTGTCAACGATTTCGATCGGCCCGGAGACGCGGTTGGGCCCGTTTTCCCTCACTTCGATCTTGACGTCTGCCACGGTTTCTCCTCCGCCTGTTCTTTGTTTGCCGGGGTTGAAGCTAGTGTAGCAACCGCCTCTGACCTTGTCCAACTGGCCACGTATCGTGCCTAGTCCGCGGGCGCATCTGCCGGCTCCACGGCCGACGGGGCGGTCCGTACAGGGCGCTTCCGCTCTCCCCGAATGAGAACCAAGACCATACCCATTCCCAGCATCGCTACCATCAGTAGGAACGCCCACTTGAGCCCCGCAACGAATGCGTCAGCCACCGATGGAGAGACCGCGTCCAGGCTGGGCTCCACTCCGTAGGTCGCCATTGTCACCACGACGATGGTCGTCGCGACTGCGATGCTCGTCACGTTGGCGGAATTGCGCACCAACTGGGTCAGACTGGAAACCACCCCATACTGGCTCCTGTCTACCGCGCCCAGCACCGAACTGTTGTTAGGGGAGTTAAAGAGGGCCATGCCACAGCTCTGCAGCATCATCATGAGAACGATGAACAGCACCGATGACGACTCGGTGAGATTGATTGCAAAGAATAGGGCCCCGGCTGCGGAGCAACCCAACCCGGATAGTGTCAGCACTCTCCATCCAAAGCGGTCAGACAACCGTCCGCTGACTGGCCCAAGCAGGACCATGCAAATGGCCGGCGGTATCATTAGCAGCCCGACGTCCCTGGGGCTCAGTTCCAGTAGCCGCTGGAGATAGAACGGCATCATAAACCGTGTGGCCTGGCTGCCCAGGAACGACAGCCAGCTCGCCCCGATGCCAATTGCCACCAGCTTGCGCTTGAACAGCCGCAGGTCGAGCATAGGAGAGGCAACCCGCAGCTCCCACCAGATGAATGCGCCAAAAGCCGCTGCGGTAGCCGCTGTACCCAGTAGTATTGCGGGCGAGGTCCAGCCCAGGCGGTACCCGTTGCCCACCACCAGCAGGAAGCCAAGCAACGTCAGCCCCCGACAGGGTTGCTCCCAGCCAGTCGAAGCTGTCGCCTGCCCGATCTGAATTCTCTTCCGTCCTGCGTGGCTGCTGCAGGATATACATCGATGCCAGGATAGTTAGAATGCCTATTGGGATATTGACGAAGAAGACCGATCGCCACCCGAAGGCCGCAACCAGGAGCCCGCCGACGGCAGGTCCCGCAACCGCGCCGCTGCCGACGACGCTCATGTGTGTGCCCAGGGCCTTACCCCGCTCTGCACCGCTGAAGGCGGTGATAACGGTGGCCATGCCGTTGCCCTGAATCATCGCTGAGCCTGCGCCCTGGAACACCTTGGCCGCGATTACCCAAGGCAGGTTCGCGGCCACCCCGGCAAGCGCCGAACCGGCAACGAATATGACCAGTCCGCCGATGTAGACCCATTTGCGCCCGACTATGTCGCCCAGCCTGCCCATGGGCAGGATCAGCACACTGATGGCCAGGGCATTCCCCACCACGACCCACTGCACCGCCGGCAGGTCGGCGTGAAAGTGCGCCGCGATTTCTGGCAGGGCAATGAGAACCGACCCCGTATCGATCACTGACACGAAGGTGCCGATCGCGATGGTCGCGAACACCAGCCACTTGTAGGAGGGTTCGTTGGCTATGCGGCGAAGCAAACTGGGAACATACTGGAATCCTGTGCTGACGGCTGTCTACGGTCGAATAGGCCATGCGATGGTTGTCGATTTCCGTAACATCAGATTATAGACGATTTATAGAACCCAGGTGATTTATGGAACCAGGTAAGGAAAAGAATACGCACTTGGGGCGATCGCATCAGGACGGCCTGGTTCCAAGCAGATGGCACCGGTCGCAAAACACCGCGAACACTGGCGGGAACGTAACACGGGACGGAATGAATCGCGTCTGGAGAGATTCCGTCCCACTGCAGGAAACCGGGCTTCGCCGTTTCCTGGCTGGGTCGTCCTTTATGGACACCCATACCTGACTTGTTTGGCAATTGGAGCAAATCTTTAGCCAAGCGGGACGTCCTCAAGGGAGTGGCTGAGGCCGCCCCGCCACCTCGCGCTTGACCGTGGTCTTGGCGCTGGGTTAAATTTCAGGCAGACAATACTTCCATTGGAGCAGTTCTATGCCTATTATGAATGAACATTAACGGAGCACAACGCACGCCAAAGTCGCC